AAGAGGGTGAGCACAGAGCGTCTCTTCCATCCTTTTGCTGAACGTGGTCAGGACCTGGGACACCTCCCCGGTCTCCGATCCTTGGTTACTCCCATCTCGCCATTCGGTGCAGCTATACCCACCTGCTGGCTCAACCCGGGGCTGAATTGGCAATGGCACTGGCGCCAACAAGGTATCCAGGATTCCAACACACTCACACTCAGCCAAAGATGACTAACCTCGATACCTAGTCTACTCTCGTGCCGGCACGGAAACCATATCAGCGCTACCATACTTATTTGGCCAACCTACAGTTTACACCTCGTCGTTGGAGGTAGCACGACAGGTCGTCTCGATCAAGGGCCAGTTCTTCAAAGAATATAGTACAGTGTTGATTACTTTGTGGGTGCCCTTCATGTTGCTTTATTAAGAGCCATAAGTTAATGGCACCGTGCAGAGTATGGGGTCCCAACGTGTTCGCAGCCAATGGAGATGATTGGAAAAGGCACATACGAATCATCGCACCTGCGTTCTGCCCGGCAACGTACGTAGCCACTGCCTAATATCTGCGTGCATTCACGTTGCAAATTGGCTGTCTCAGTTACGCCACCGTGTGGGAAGAGACTTCCCGGGTGTTCGATGAAATGGAGACCGAAGAGGGATGGTTAGAAAGGTCGACTGTAGGTATTCCTGCCATTAACAGCTACACATACAAGGTGCGCTCTACGTTTCTCCACCATTAAACTTCTCTCTGACTTAATCTTGGGTGTTAGTTTGCTCTCATCCTCATATCGGCCTGCGGCTTTGGTAATCCGCTAAGCTGGACAGCCCGCGAGTCCTCCCCGGGTAGGATGTCCTTTGCCACGGCCTTGGAAATTATTTCGAAGCACCACATTGCACGAATCCTTTTGCCTCAATGGGCATACAGTCTCCCCATCAAGTGGTGTGTGTCCCAGTGATTCTACCGCGTCGTGTTGGCTGACGTTTTTGATGACCTTTCAGGGTACAGGATCTCAGTACGGCGGTCGACGCAATGAATCAGTTCATGCGGGAAATGATCAATGAGCGTCGCAGAGATTTGACTTCTGGCCACGTCAACCACAAAGACATTCTTACGCTCATGATAAAGTCCAATGAAGGAGAGGACAAGTTCATGATGGACGACTCTGAGCTAGTGAGAGATATTCTCATGTTTGCTTAGGTCTGATTTACGCTTTCTCTCAGATCGGAAACACATTCATTCTACTCCTTGCGGGTCATGGTACGTCATATGTGAACTCTTGTATGAGGAGGCTATTGACACATCGCAGACACCACGTCCAAAACCCTTAACGCAGCTACTGGGTTCCTCGGTCTCTATGAAAATTTCCAAGAGGAGGTTTATCGCGAAATCATGGAAGTGATGCCTACTGACGCTGACGTTGTTAGTATTGCCAAATCATTGCTTAGCTATCCGGAGTCTCACGTTTCTATACAGACTTTTGAGAACTCGGCACGTTTGACCAAGGTTCGCTCATGCTTTTTGGAGGCATCTCGCTTGTTCTGTAAGGATACTCCTCTCCTATATAACCTCAACAATACGCCCGCTGACTCTTATATCAGCTGCAGTACAGATGATGATACGCGATACTACTGAGGATGTGGTGTTATCCAACGTTGGACCCAACAACGACGGACTTCTACCTCTCAAGCGTGATACGTGTGTTGTGGTAGACTTGGTTGGCCTGCGTACGTCACCCATCAGCCCGAAAGTGGAACGCATGTCCTAATGCCTTACTTCCATCTGCAGACTACAACCCTCGCTTGTTCCCAGACCCTGAGGCGTTCAAACCGGAGCAGTGGTACGACGCTCATGATAACGACCTCACAACGTTCTCATTTGGCTCTCGTTCATGTATGCGCTAGTTCTTCGTCTTGGCTAGTTCTGACACATCATATTCTGCAGGTATTGGCCGTAGGTTTGCAATCGCGGAAGGCGTGTGCTTCCTATCCAAACTACTCAGGCACTGGAAGGTGAGGATTATCACGAAAAAAGGTGAGACTAGGGAAGAGTGGAGACGACGAGTGATGCGCGGCTATATGGACATGAACTTGGGAGTACGCGACGTGCCCATTCGTCTGGTGAGAAGAGAATGACAGATCGCTATGCAGTACCTACTGTGCCTATTTCTGCCCCAGTTCATGCTCAATTATTCATCATACCACAGTGTTCTGGACGGGAAGAGCTTGTAGAACTACACTATACCGCGCCGATCTAAGTTCAGCCGACTTAGATTTGGCGGGCTTAGTACTGAGTTGCTGCGTACTTGAAGGGCAAGCTGGATCACTAAGCGAGAAGTTCTTTCTACATTTGTTTGTGACTCGAGCGAACGGCAGTCAGCGTTGTGCGAGCCCGAGTGAAATTGGATCGTGAGTTGGACTTAGGGGTTTGTGTACAAGGGTCTGGATCCGGACTTTGCCACTGTGAGCTTTTATATTCACCTTAGCAATGTGAGAGCATTTGCCACGAGACAAGTACATACGGCTTAAAAATACAGAATACTTCACAATCACAATATCCCTACCAGCGCCGAGACCATTGTCACTGTTGCGGCTGCCCCACCTGGACGAGCACTGTTGGTGGAACCGCTTCCCTTCGCGATTTTGGTCTCTCAATGTCTGACCAGCTTGAGTTGTACGTTTTGTCTGGCGCGT